GGTAGCCCAGGCTGGCCTCGAACTCACAGAGATCCGCCTGGCTCTGCCTCCCGAGTGCTGGGATTAAAGGCGTGCGCCACCAACGCCCGGCGACTGATTCTTTTTCACATATAAAAGTTTAGGTTTCTGATTCCTTTAAGATTCCATATAAGCTTGCCTTTCAAGATAAGTAACAAAGTAATTGGTCCTTTATTTGTAACTGCAAAGTTCAGCCTGCTAGTAAAAGGCCTAAGAAGAACACTTTGCTTTCCCACTCTGTTAATCTATAACAAGTTGCTTGGTGATGAATGTACATGGGTTCTTGGGAAAATTTGTTCTTCACCTGTAATATGTAAATGTTTAAGAGAGTAAAGGATATGGAAAACATGCTGTTTTTTACTGTTTGTTTTATATTCATTATAATCATTCACTTGAAAACACAGAATATAACCGCATTATAATTTTTATATTGCCTGAAAGATTTTGTGGGTTATATAAGCTATAAGAAAGAAAATAAATATAGTTAAAATGGGCTAGAAGGAAAACATGAAGAGTGAGAGTTAGAAGGAAAACATCAAGATGAGATTTAAATTAGTTAGAAGAAAAACATCAAGAATGAGAGTTAAAATGAGCTAGAAGGATAAGAACAAGAATGAGAGTTAGAAGGAAAACATCAAGAATGAAATCACCAGGAAAATAAATAGAGAATGGAAAAGAAGAATAAAGAAAAGGTCTGAAGGAAAACAACAAGAGTGTGTGCCTTTTTCCCTAACCCCCTTTAATAGAAAAGTCTAGTACATGCCGATTGTGTGGATTTCCCTTTGAGCCCTGTGCTACTGGGGGCTGGCACCTCAGGCAGAGATACTACCTCCTCCAAGCAGCTTGTCTGGACTGGTCCAGGCAGCTTGACGACTGTCTGCCTAAAGGCTGGTCTGAGCATCTTCTGTGCAGTTCAGCAGTCTGACAGTGCGAGCATTCCTTACTGATTACATATGCTTGAGGCTGGGGAGCCCTAGTGAATCTTGCCAGTCTCTGTGACTTCCCAAAGCTATTAAGTCGCCCATTTCTGAGCTTAAAGAACTTCTCTGCAGGACTGAATGTATCACCTTTCCCTAGAGCAGCGTCTCTCAACCCTTTTGTCATATTCCCTTTGGGGTCTCATATCAGGTATCCTGTATATGAGATATTTACATTACAATTCATAACAGTAGCAAAATTACCACTATGAAATAACAAAATAATAATTTTATGGATGGGGGGTCACCACAAAATGAGGAACTGTATTAAAGGGTTCCACTTTATTCCATTACCTTAGAGCATCCTGTTCCTTTATCTTACTTTTCATGCCCTTTGTTTGAAGGAGATTCCTCCAAGACTGAAGGATTTAATCTCAGAGGAAACTGATACACTATAACCGTTCCTGGGCATGAACTCCAAAGACTTGCCATTTTACCAATGAGCATTTGCCCATCATGTGCATTGCTGCTTTATTCACTGTATCTAGGAAATGGTAACAACATAAATGTGCATGAACTGAAATATGAGTAAATGATAATGTGATACTTACCTATGTAATGCAGCATATTGTTCAGGTGTAAATTAAAATGGAAGTGTGAAATCTAGGTGTACATGTAGGTAACTAGAAATTATTATGACCAGTTCAAATACCTAGACCCCAAAAGTCAAACATCACATGTTCTCTCACATATGTGTCTAAGCTACAAACTTTGTTTTGTGTGTTCAAGTAAGACTACATGTAGAAGCCAGGAATCCTGAAATAGACAATTAGTGGGGAGAAAAAGAGTGGGTGGATAGCAGAATATAGGTGATATGAAAGTAGACATTAGGAATCCTGGGGGCAGAATGGTTCAAATATGTAATGCATATGGAGAAGAGAGGGGGCTGCTGAAAGATCAACCAAGATCATCTTCATGAGATGACCATGAAGAAGCTATATGGGAGCCTATCATTTTGTAACACAAGAGATGAGACTCTACTATGAAGATTTTGAAGGTGAATAAAAGGTAAGAATTTATCAGAGTGTTTTCTTTAATGATGAATTTTCTTTTATCTCTGCAACTTCAGAAAAATGTAAAGGACTTGTCAAATTCAATGCATTTGGGGAAGTATAATTTCCAATGTACAGAAAGACATCGGGATAAGGGATGTGTCAGTCTTTGCGTTTGTATGGTTCCTCTCCATTATGGATTTTCTGATGTCTCCTTAAACCAGAAGAGTGGGCAAAAGATTTATCACATTCCTGACAACTGTAAGGTCTCTCTCCAGTATGAACCCTTTGATGTGTTCTAAGATGTGAGTCCTGGGTAAAGGACTTGTCACATTCCATACATTTGTAAGGTTTCTCCCCAGTGTGAACACTCTGATGTCTTCTAAGATTTGAGCAACTGGTAAAGGATTTGTCACATTCCTTACAACTGTAAGGTCTCTCTCCAGTATGAACTCTCTGATGTCTCCTAAGACTTGCAATATGGATATAGGATATATTACAGTCTTTGCATTTGTGAAGTTTCTCTCCAGTATGAATTTTCTGATGTGCTCTAAGATATGAGCAGCTAGTATAACACTTGTCACATTCCTTACATTTGTAAGGTTTCTCGCCAGTGTGAACACTCTGATGTCTTCTAAGATCTGAGTGTTTGGTAAAGGATTTCTCACATTCCTCACATTTGTAAGGTTTCTCCCCAGTGTGAATTTTCTGATGTGTTTTAAGAGTTGAGTTTAAGGTAAAGTATTTGTGACATACCTCACATTTGTAAGGCTTCTGACCAGTATGGAGTCTGTAATGTATTTTAAGATGTGATAATTCAAGAAAGGACTTACCACATTCTTTGCATTTGTGAAAATTCTCTAGAGAATGAGTTTTCCTATGTCTACTCAGTGATGAATAGTGAGGAAAGGATCTGTCACAGTCACTGCACTTATAAAGCTTCTCTCCAGTATGAAGTCTGTAATGGCTTTTAAGGTGTGAAATCTGATGAAAGACCTTGCCACATTCCTGACAACTATAATGTCTTCCAGCAGTATGCATTTTCTGGTGTCTCCTAAAATTGGAATAGTGGGCAAAGGATTTGTCACATTCCTTACATTTGTAAGGTTTCTCTCCAGTATGCAATTTTTGATGGCTACGGAATGCTGACAACTGTGGAAATGACTTCTCACATTCTTTACATTTGTAAGGTTTCTCTCCAGTATGAAGTCTTTGATGTGTTTTAAGACTTGACCACTGGGTAAAGGATTTTTCACAAACTTTGCACTTGTAGGGTTTAATTCCAGTATGAATTCTTTCATGTACAGTGAGGCATGAGGCAGTACTGAAGCATTTCCCGCATTTCTCACACCGGTGTGGTGTTTCTCCAATGTAGATTGGTTGTTGCAAAAGACTGTATGCAGCGCTGAAATAGTCATCATATTCTCCCTGCCTGTGCACTTTCTTTGTGGTATAGAGTCCCTGATCTTGTGTAATATTGGAACACAAATTTAAAGATTTCCCACAGTCTTTAGATTTGCAAGGTTCTTCTCCAGTGTGCATGCTTTCATGTCTATCTGAATTTGATGAGTCAACAGAAGCATCCCTGTGATTACTGGAACTATAGTTATTAGAGTTTTCTGTAGTTTCACCTGTTTTATGAGGTGCACTTGTGGAGGGGTCATGAAGCACTTTGACAAGCTCATTACACTGACAAGACTCCTTTTCAGTCTTCACATGTTGATGGACAGGATCACATTTGCAATAGTTCTCTGAAAATGAATACAATTCAGATTAATAGGTTTTGTTCCAATAATAAGCATGTGATAAATGACTGCCTCCCTAAGTTCTCTTGTAAGATATGTCAATCTGCAACTATATGGACTAGAGTTCCCAGTATTTGACATTTTCCATCCAAATTGTATGGATTTTCACAAAAACAATATGACAGCCTTCAAAGGTCATTGATTTATAGCAGATATCTTTATCAAAAATCACTAACTGGGAAAAGAATGGAAAATATAATTGAGGATCATTAATTAGCTTTGAGGTACAGCTCACTGACTGATTATATTAAAATACATGTCTGTATCTTTAAATATTTCGTTTCAGAAATTAATGAAGGGGCGTTTATTCCAATCCCAAGTTCACAGTGCTTTTACTTACTAATTGATTAGCAATGAGAAGTACTGACCAGACCCAATTCCATTAAAATTAAAGTCTTAATTAAAAGCATCACAGAGTTTATTTTTCTCTCTAGAAAAACAGACTTGATCATTCAAAAGTAATGGATGCAAAGGCAGTATTCTGGCAGATATCAGAGGCTCTAGATCATTTGAGGCAGGGCTGTCATGGGCAGCTATTGCTTATTTCTATCCTCCAGTGTCTGAGCTCCACACACTGCTGTGTTTCTTAACTTTCCTCATAGGGTTTTTAATCAAGTCCACTCTGTATAATAACTCCTCAGATTATTCCCCAGAAGGGTATCTTTGTATTCTCCACTGGGAGAAGAATGAAGAATTTAATATGAAGATATGCATACAAGAAAGGCAATTACAGAATAATCCTACTGCATGGACTCACGTTATACATAAATTTTGTAAAATTATTACAATATGATTTCAGCATAGTAAAAAAATACCCTGCATTTTTGTACTAGTATTAAGTCACCAAAATTCAGGTGTAATAAGACATAACGCCTTCTAATAGTTATTACAACAGACAGGATACATCCTGGGCCAGGACACTACACTAAGTTAAATGATCAGGAATCCTTTCAAGTGGCATTGAATATCACAAAACCATTCTCAGCTCTTGCTTTCTCTTTTATGGAAGCCTTCACTGTTGTCCTGCTCATTCACTAGCCCACCCTAGTTGTGGCTACTCACTCCTCTCCACATTCCAGGGCAATCTTATTCTTTCCTGGCAGTTGATCATGCCTACCTTCAATACATAACCCACATGTTCTTTGAGGCAGCCCATGACCCATGCTAGAACGTTTAGAAAGATTACACAAGTGTAAGACAATACTGCACTGAGTACAGGAAAACAGAAAGCAGAGGAATTTAAGCAAGATTTCTCAACTGATATTTCTTCTCAAATTCTTCAGTATATTTAGTATTTTCAGTTTGTATATCTTGAATTTTTCTCACAATTAAAAGCATATCAATTGCAATAATGGACATAGAGTTTTAAGATATGAGTGGAAATATTATATGCTACTGAGTTTATTGATGAATCTTGGGACCAAAATGAAGGGTGGATGATACCTCTGACATGGAAAAGGGAAAGAGAAAACTAAATAGCATGAAAAAGTTCTTTCCCACTTCTAAACTTTGCCTTGTCACTTGTTGATTTTTCAGGACAGCTTAACGATTTTACATCCTATGAAGTTAGAAGAAACAAAAGATGGGTTAGGAATTCTACAAGCAAAATGTTCTCACCAACAGACACCAGGTTGTTATAATTCTCCAACATGACATCAATGTACAAAGCCCTCTGAGCAGAGTCCAGGCATTCCCACTCCTCCTGGGGGAAGTCCACAGCTACATCCCCAAATGTCAACAGACCCTGAAACAAAAAAGTATGGTTTGACCATGTGCTACCTGGAAGTTTTTTTCCTAGATATAAGGAGACATAATATAGATGAGTGAAGATAATTACTCAAAAAGATGATTTCCAAAGAGTCACATTCTATCATGAATGTTCTAACTCTATGAAAACAGAATGAAACAATCGTCTTACAAGCAGTATACATGAAACAAGAAATACATTGAAGGTCTGGACATGGTTATCTATCTGTTGTGGATGCGGTGTTTATGTTACACAGGATCACAGCAGACATGTCTCAGAAGGAAAATTCATGATGAGGAAATGGGCTTTAACTGCTGTTGCTGTAGATCATGCTAAAAGACTGACACAAATCAATCCTGTGTGTACTTGGGCCTTACATGACTATTCTAACAGACTCAGGATGTTTAAACTCTAGGTCCAATGCCACACCATTAAACAGCAAAGGGGTAGGTATGGAAGACAGAATATATGACTGATCTTATAAACAAAGAGTTTTGATTTTGTCCACAATAGCAAGGGATTGTAACAGCACTACATACTGTCAATTTTAACATTAACATATGAGATAGTCAATGGAATTAATTTTATGTGAATAGGGCCACTATAGAAAAACATGCATCAGAATATTTGATATAATCCAAAATTTTCTGAAGAATATGCATAAGCCAACAGAGACAAATAACAATTTCAGAAGTTTGGAAGAATATTTCCCTTCACATCAGACGAGTAATAAAAATGGAGGGAAGTCCAAAAACACATAAAAAATGCTTAAGGTATATCTATGAGAATCTATACCAGTGGCATTTTGATAAGGCTCATAGCAAGAACTTACCAAAAATTAAATTAATAAAATACCAAGGAAATAAAACTGCAAATCAGGAAATGGCCAAATGAATTAAATAGACAATTTTCAAAGAAAGAAACTGAAAAGGCCAATAAACTTTGCAAAAGCATCCAGGATCCCAAAAAAGGCCACCATGGCAACACAAATTAAAACTACTTGGAAATACTACCTCACCCCAGACAGAATAGCTGTGAAAACTAACCTGACAACAAATGTGTGAGGAAATATGGAGAGAAAGGAAGCCTTCTTCACTGTTAATAGAGGGAAGAGTGCAAATTAATACAGCTATTGTGGGAACGGGAGATTATTGAAAAATTGAAGAGAGAAGTAACAGATGACCCAGCTCTTTCACTCCTGGCTGTATACCCAAAGAATGACACACCCCACTACAGAGACATTTATACCTCAGCAAAGGAAAAGTACTGGAATCAAAGTAATTATCTATCAACAGATCAATGGATAATGAAAACTGTATAAAATGGAGTACAATTCAGCTGAAGAGAAAAATAAAATGAAAATGTGCAGGAAAATGGATGGACCCAAAATGTGTAATATTAAGTGCAGTCGTACACTTTTAGAATGAAGATACCACATTTTCGCTCATATGACAAATCTACCCAATAATATATGTATATGGAGACAAAGTATATGTGGGCACAGTATAACATGGAGTAAAGACAACAAGAAAGGTTAACATATCAGGGACTGAATGCAGGTAATGGACAACAGTTATGAAAAAGGGTATAAAGCTAAGTGCTTTTCTTCTAATTCTGTCAAAGGTTTTGGGGTTTTAGGTGGTGGATAAGTAAATCAAAATATTTCATTGTGAAAATATAAAATCCCATGTGAGGCTCCAGAGCTTCTGTTCTCTATGATGATGTTAACTGCAAAGTACATTGAGTTGCATAGTCTTTGGGTCTGCTTAATTTCAGTGTGTGATTTTGTTGTTTGTCTGTTTGCACCATTTTTCATAATAAAATTTTAAAAAATATCAGAATCAGAATTAAAGGCTTTTAATACATGAAAGTATAACATATTTAGATAAAAAGTGGAAAGGGCCACTGACCTGCGACATGTTTACTGGAGAATCAGTCGTTTCTTACTGTTTCTCTGCTTTGAGTTTCTCTTTCAGGAACAATGATAGATGGTTGCTTCCCTTTCAAACCAAGAGGTCAAAATGGAAGAGTTAAAATTAATACTAAAAGCTGTTAGAGAACAATGTCAAACCACATGAAAAGACCCAAGCAACAGAATACTACCAGGTGTCTAGTCAATGATCCCAAAGATAGGAGAGAATGGAAAGACATCTGAAGCTTGAAGAAAAAGTACCTTGTAGCACAAAGAAAACTACTCTCTTAAAATTGATGGAGACATAAGTGCATTTAAGATAGTCACCAATTAACACAATTGATTTCACTAAAGCAGCACTCAAGTAATAAATTAGAGGCAAAACATATACAGGAGAGTCAGAGAATCATCCATAAGAACACGGGAAATAATAAATTTCATGTGAGGAACAGAAAAATACAGGAGAGCTGGAGAGTAATCATCAATGGGCAAGACAGCAAAACACTTTTCTCAAAAAGGCAGAAGAATACCAATAATCCAACCAGCAAGAACACAAAAACAAAATCATAGGAAATGAAAATACCATGAACAAAAAAACTAGCCAAACTGGAAATCAAAATAGAGAATCCTCAATTAAATAAACAAACCCCCAAGTTAAATAAATTCAGCATATGACCCAGCTGTTCCATTCCTTGGTATATGCTCAAAGGACCCTACACCCTACTTCACAGATTTGCTCACCCATGTTCATTGCTGCTCTAATCACAACAGCTATAAAATATATACAACCTAAACCTCCTTCAACTGACAAATGGATAGTAAAAGTGTGGTATATATACATTATGGAATAGTATTCAGTTGTAAATAAAATTGAAATAATGAGCTTTGCATGTTAATAGATGGACCAGAAAAGATCATATTGTGTGAGATAACCCAGACCCAGAAAGATAGATATTGCATGTTCTCTCATAGGAAGTTCCTAGCTCCAAATCTTCAGATGTGAGTCCACAACCTGGAGTGACTGCAGTGACCAGAAAAGTAAAAAGAGATCACTGTGGGGTGTGGGTGAGTAACAGAGATGGAGTAACAGGGAACAAGAGATCTGAAGGGGGAAATGGAAAACAGGGGTGAGGATTTAACAATGGAGAAGGGATAATATGAACACAGAAGAAGGAGGGTACAATAACAGTAAGGATTTCTAGAAAATTCATAAGGAATCCATCTATTCCTTGACTATTATCCATCCACAAAAAAATAAATAAATAAATAAAATGTAAGCATATACATTTAAAGTGTAAATGAAAATCTCCCAACTGCACTGATGATGTTCCTCACAAGAGCCATAGAATTTCTAACAAAATGACCAACACCAGGTGTAAGAAGCCTGCTTTGAAGTTGTTGGTCACACTTGTCCAAGAGACTTCCAAACAGTACACAGTATTTCTGTTTCCCATGATTCCCTCCCCGAGGCAGAAGTTGAGTCCCTGATGTTCAAGAAGCCACACACTTCATGCACAAAGCCTAGAGGACTCCAGATGGAACTGACCTTAAAACCTCCTCCCTGGGGACTGACTAGCTTTCATGGTACCAGAAGGCAACATGCTACCTTCTAAAGGAGGGAGCCAACCAACAGTCCTGCCCAGCTATGACACCTATGAACCACAACAATGATCTGCACTGCATGATAGCCCTAAGGGTGCAAGAGTGGCACACAGACCTTGGTGGTAATCACAGCTTCTAATTGGATTAAGAGCCTCTCAACAAGAAGAAGTCATGCCTGGTGCTGGAAAACTAGCCAGTTTCCCCAGGGCTAGTAAAGGCATGGATCTTAGAGGAGAACCCACGGCCAGTACCAGCATAAGCCCTTACCGGATTAAGTATTTATCCTAACTACCAACAAACAATAGGAGACAGTATAGATGGAGTGTAGCAGGCTATAACTATACTTCCTGATTCTTCTCAAGACTCTGTTGGCATTATTATCAGGAACACAGACAAAAACACTGAAAGGTAGAGAATGTGCTAGAATACCAAAGCTCCAAAATTCTGAAAATAATAAATAAAGATAAAAGTATTTACTTCAATTTCATAAAATATTAAAATAAAATAAATGAAAATGACTTAGTAATGGTATGAAAACATGATCCATGATGTGAATGAATAAGGACAGCATCACTCACATGCACAGTCAAAAAAAAAATGTATTTGACTCCTTTATCAATTCTTCTGTAGAAAGTCTGCTCATTAGGATAATCCTGGGGAGATTCTCAGTGGAAGTCTCCAGAATTATCTCTAGTGAAACAGAATGTGGCAAAACTGATTTCATGCTCCACTTCCACATTCACTTGATCCCCTTTCCACTCCTTCACCAATGTCTCCACCATACCTGGACCCTTAGCTACTGTCTCCTCTCTCCTTCCAGGCCACTTTGTTCTGCTGCATGGGTGAGCAGGTCATGGTGATCAGTGAGACCTGCACATGAGAAAGAGATTATTCAGGAAGCACCTGGATTTCTAACACAGTACTGTGCTCAGGAGATGAAGAGAAAACCAAATACAGGATTATAAAATGATTCCCCAACTGTCCTGCAGGGTCAGAATACTGAAAACAATTAGAAAGCATTTTTAGTTATTGTAACTTGAATCCCCACTTCCAATCACAGCTCAATCAAAACTCAAGGGCAGAAATGGAACTGAATGATTGGGAAGAGAAAATTATACACTAGTGAGGTTCTGAATTGATCATGAACCAATAATGATGAAGCCTTACACCTCCCAAAGGGACACATACAAAGAAGAGAGAACATTTCGTGGAAATTTTCTTTTTTCCTCTGAGGATTTCACTTTACTCTGTGAGATATGAGACTCATCCACACAAAGCTCACACACTTGCAGAGTAATTTGCCAAGCAAGGGAGACTGCAGGCAAGCTGTTCTCACCCACAGATCCAGTCTCTGTACAAAGCCCTCAGAGCAGGTCCAGGCATGGCCACTCCTCCTGGGAGAAGTCCCCAGTCATACCACTGGCTGTCAACAGACCACAAAAGAAAAAACAACAGTTTGAATCATCCTGTTGGTGCACACCTTTAATCCTAGCATTTGGCAGAAACAGGTGGGTAGAACTCTGTGTTTTCCAGTCCAGCCTGGACTATATGGTGAATTTGGGCCAGACAGAGCAACACTGTGAGTTCAATTTTCAAACACAGCAAACCCAGGAACCAAAAAAATCTAACAGTTTGGTCATGTGTCCATGGTCAGAATGCTTTTCTTGGATCAAGGAGACAAAAAACTATTGTAGAGATTTTTCCGATACAGATGAGTTGTTATTGTTTTCAAAAAGTGCTCTCTAATATAATTCTACACTATAATGCATTTCAATTTCCTTTTTCGTTTCCTATTGTCCCCTGTAACAAGGTTTTTCTGTGTAGTGCTGACTGTTCTTAAAGTCACTATGTACACCTTGCCAGCCTCCAACTGACTGTGGTCCACCTGCCTCTGCCTTCTGAGTGTTGGGATTAAAGGCCTGTGCCATCATGCCTGGCAGAGACACTTTTCAGAATGTTGTATTTACATTCCAGTGTGCACATGTCTCAGATGGAAAATTAATGGTGGACAAAACTTTACTTTTAAAAGTTAATGTTTACAAGCATACTGTGGAACTCGCAAAAAAAAAAAAAATGTGCTTTCAGATTCAATGAAATTTGCAGGCGTTCCTTTCATGACTATTATCTAAATCTCAGCGAATCCAAGTCTCCAGGTAAATACGCCAGGTTCTTGAATAGGGAAGTGACAAAACACGGAAGTTAGTATGGATGATTGTAAATTTCATTTTACACAAAGAGATTCGTGTTTGCAAATCTCAACAGATAAAACCAAATGTTCGATTAGATTATTTTTACAAGAATATTCGGGCAATCAGAAGATGAATTTTAAAAAACAGGCTTATTCTATAGAATCTAAAATACACCAAGCAAAGACATCCACAGCAGAACTTCAGAGCCGGCTTCCTTATGAACAGCAGAGAAACTGCTCGCACCCCTGGTCCCTCCCCTCCCGTGTCCCAGCCCCGCAGCTCCTCTGACCTGGGAGGTTCCAGGGCCGCCGGGCTGCGGTTCCCGCCACTGCGCTGCTGACTGGTGACTTTCCCAGGCCGCCCCGCGCGGCCACTGCGGCTCCGGGGAGATTTCGTGTCCCCGCGACCCCCCGCCGTGTCCTCCGGGTCTGCACCACGGGATTCTCCCCTAGAGCAACCACAGGGATGGGTACTCCGCACTACCGACTTTGGCTCCTCCCAACTTCTCACGGCTCAGGTTCTGTTCCAGCTTCCGTTTACGACATTCCTCCAACCCCTCTCACGCTCCACTCTTCCCTTAAACCCAGCGAATGGGCCACATCCTCCCAGCCGCTGTTTCCGGGTGAGTGGCCCCGCCTCGACGAGACCCGTCCCTCCCACTTAGTCTCAGGCGCCTTCCACACAGCTCCAGCTGTCAGGCTGCCCTGCACCCGCTCTGCACAGCCTCCCCACATGCTCGCTGCCAGCCTGGACCAGAACTGGGTCTAGGAGGACGCTGCACCCCGGTTTCTGAGCCCCACAGTGAGTCTGAACCCTTCAGATAAAACACAGGCCGCCTAACCTCAACTTGACTACCAGCCTACTGGTCTACATACTTAGACCAACAGACAGCACACTAAATTCAGATGTCAGCCTCCCAACGCTAACACAGTATTACAAGCCAGAACCAATACTGCAATTGTGCCTTGGGGAGAGACATTTCAGGAACTTGGATTTTTAAAAGAAATAGGGGTCTCAAGAAGTCAATAGCCCAGGGCTGAGTTCATCTCTCGCTGTACTGCTCTCACCACTAGATGGTGGTCTTACCAATTTTACTATCAAACAAATGGTTCTTTTGTGGCTCATGTTACAAAGATGCTTTTAGATAAAATATAGAAAAAAAAATTATTGCAGCGGTGAATGATGAGACTCTTGGCTGTCCCAGATGCAGAAAATGAGTAAAGTATGTAACCACAGTTACATTTTCCTATCTAAGGCTTTGGTAACACTGAGGAAGAGGAGGAGGAAAGGTAATAAGAAGGGGAAGAGGAGGAAGGGCTAAGACGTGCCATTCTCTAGACTCCACACAGCTGTGGTAATCAGTAACCAACAGCAGCTGTACTGACCTGCATGGACCTCACACAAGACCACAATCAGTCTAGGAAAGGGAAAGTCACATAGGGCCCACTCTTTACCTCTAAAATGTTGGCTATAGATAAGAGTGTAGGAGAAGAATCTCTGCCTTTAGCTGTAGTCCTCTGCTGATCCCACCAGACTCCAACACATAGTTCCAAACCCACAGTCTCACATGTGGCTCTGGTCAATCTCAGTGGGTCCCAAGCAAAATGAATGGAGATGAACACAACAGAGATTTGTTGGGATTATGAACCAGGATAGGAGATAGGTAGGAAATGAGAATGGACAGTATTTGAGGTGCACATACAACACAGACACACTTATATACACATACTCTGTTATATATATATATATATATATATATATATATATATATATATAGAGAGAGAGAGAGAGAGAGAGAGAGAGAGAGAATAAAGAGAGACAGAACTAAGAACAGAAATATTTTGAATGAGCATGGCAGTCGGTAATTTCTTTTTTTGTTGTATCAGTACCTAGTTTAATATCAGGTAACACTAACAGTCAGGAAGTTTTCATTTCTGTTTCAAGTATTTAGATATTCTTCTTTGAATTTTGATAGAATCATATCAATCTGGTCATGGGGTATTTTGGGGGGGTCATTTTATTACTTCTGTCTTATTGCTACTTGCATTTACATATTATTTTCATGTTGTTTAAATTTCATATGTAATGTAAATCTCGAAACTCATCTATTTCATTTAGAGTTTAAAATCCAGTGGAATAGAGGCCTTTAATGTCAGTAGAAATAAGACTCACTTGTTTATGCATGTCTATCAAGTCAGCTGTTATGACATGATAATAAAAAGTTATGTCTAGTTTGCAAGGTTATACAAGCCTTTAGTCCCAGCACTCAGGGGCAGGGGCAAGGGTAACTGTGAAGTCACAGCCAGCCTGGTCAACATACTGAGTCTAGGACAACTGGTAATAAACAGAGAGTTCTTGTCTCAAAACAAAGAAATATTCTCCCTGAAGAATAGCTTTCATGGTACCAGAAGCACCGTTCAAGCTTCCAAAAGTGGAAGTCAATGACCAGTCTTATCCAGCTGTGATGCCTATGAACCACATCAGTGATCATCATGGTACAATAACCCTGAGTGCAGTAGTGGCAAGCGTATCTTGGTGGTAACCAACAGCTCTCTAATTGGACTTAAGAAATTCTTAACAAAAGAGAAACCATGACTGGCCCTGGAAACCTGGCTAACTACTTAGTGCTGGTGAAGTCATGAATCTTGGAGGAGAACCAGCAACCACCACTTTACTAAACCAGCATAATTCCTAACAAAAATCTAAACATTTTGCTTATACCCACAGATAAGTGTAGTAATCACCTGTTATCAAATAAACTTCTTTTTGCAACAGAGAACACTACAAATAAACCACAACTAATCAAAATGCAGAGTTGTGGATTCCAGGTCAAATGGACACATATATAAAATACTCTTGAATATAAGGCTGAAGAAAAATTTTTGAAGAAGAGTGTATAAAGATTATAAGAGCCAGATGATCAGGGAGCTTGCCATGAGATTGTGTCTCCTCTTGTATTAGGGAGGATTCTCTAGAATAACAGAAATAATAGAATGAATCTCTCTCTCTCTCTCTCTCTCTCTCTCTCTCTATATATATATATATATATATATATATATATGATTTATATGAATTGCCTACAGCCTGATGTCCAGCTAATTCAACAATGGCTAGCTGTGAACAGTAAGTCCAAGAATCTAGTAGTCAGTCCTCAAGACTGGATGTCTCAGTTGGTCTTTAGTATATGCTGGATTCCCAAAGAAGTATGCTCCAATGCCAGTGAAGGAATGGATGTGCTAAAAAGGCTAGGGCAAGCAGACAAGGAGCAAAAGCCTCATTCTTCCATGTTGTTAGATAGACTTCCAGCAGGTGTGGCCCAGATTAAAGTTGTATCTTTGAGCCTCATGATCCTTTTCAAAGGTGTCTGTCCTCCCACCTCCAGATATGGATCAAAGGTATTTGTCTTCCTATCTCTAAGGTCTGGACTAAAAGTGGGTTCACACACTTCAAACCAAACAAAAATAATCTCACAGGTATGCCCTCCTTTTCTGTATTGTAGTTCATTCCAGATGTAATAAGTTAGAAAAGCAAGAGTAGCCATCACAAGTCCATCATCCCTTGTTAACTTGACAAACAATCATATCTCCTTATTGTGGTGATACATTGTGTCTCCCAATATATTATGCACCCTAATAAAGTTTATCTGAGGATCAGAGGAAAAAGCCAGTCACTATAGTAAACATAGAAGTTAGGCAATGGTAGCACATGCCTTTTATCCTAGCATTCAGGAGGCAGAGATCCATCCAGGTCTCTGTGAGTTCAAGGCCACACTAGGGAACAGAGGATGGTGGTGGTGGTGGTGGTGGTGGCACAGGCCTTTAATCCCACCAGTAACCATACAGGTCTGGAGGTCTATACAGACAGAAAGGAAGTGATGTAGCTGGGCAGAGAGAAGAAGTGAGATTGCAGAACAGAAAAGCATATAGGTGTGGGAATACAGGAAGTAGGTCTCTTTGGCTGAGGATCTCCAAGTGGTAAGAAGGTAGTTGACTTCTTTCTGCTTTTCTGACCTCTCAATTTTTACCACAATATCTGGCTCTGGGTTTTTATTAATAAGACCATTTATCAATTCATCTTACACCTTATGTCATGATTAATTTCTGTTTGAAAACAATAAACAGGTCATAATAACAGCTAAACACGATGTAACTATACCAAATAGAATAGCAAATGCATTATATATTTAACCATGTCATAATTACACCTAACATGCTATGACTTGCTGTCATACAACTGCAAACACATTTGAAATTTAGAATAATTGTCAATGTCTCTTGTGGAACAGGACTTTAGTATCTCGAATTTAGATACGATAACCATTGATATTCTCTTAGTTGATGTTACATCACTTGATAAAGAAATTGAAAGAAAACACAAGTATCTGTACAAAACATTTTTAGGAAAACACAATAGAAACACTAATGTCAACGATAATATTCCCTGTTACTGGTCACATGACCTTAACAAGTATTTATAACAACCCTCCACTACTCATTCTGTATTTTCTCCACCCTCAGCAGGTCTTGGCTCCTTTCCTGGAAAGTGGCTTCTTCCTTCATTCCAGATGTGTCTGTGCCCTTTGTCATCCTTCCTGGGTTAGGCTGTTGTCGTTTCCCATTGGCTTTAATCACAGGACATGGTAGCACTTAGAGACACCCTAAAGGCTCTCCTGCACTGCGGATGTAATGCCTCTAAGCCACATGTGGAGAAGCAATCCTGTTTCCCCATGGTAATCTGGATGCTTAAAGGGCATTAGAAGCCAAAAGTGACCGGGGGGAATCTTATCTCCCAGTTCCAAGGTATGTTTGTTGAGGCACCTGGAGGGAATGCTTCCCTGTCTAGAACCAAAACTGCTAGACCAGCAGAATTTAAGGTTGAAAGAACAGGAAGCAAAAATTTCCTAGTTTATCACTGGGGTCATAGTAAGGGGACCTATTCCTTTCCCTCCCCTTGATTCATGGGACACTTGGATCCTGGCTAGAGGAGAAACCATATGATATATTGGACACTGACTGGAAAGCATTTATTGCCTTCTGGAGAACCCTGCCACGCCCTCCAGGCTGCTGCCACCTAATTGGCCCTGTAACTGTTGTTTCAAAAAGCCATTCCTTCTTTCTATATGGCCAGCTGCTTCTGCATGGTGGGGAACATGGTAAGAACAGTGGATTCCATGATCGTGGGCCCACTGTTGAACTTCTCTGCTGTGAAGTGAGTTCCTCGGTCAGAAGCAATAATGTGTGGAATACCATGGTGGTAGATGAGGCATTCTGTAAGTCAACAGATGGTGATTTTGGCAGAAGCATCCCATGCAAAAAAGGAAAATCCATATCCAGAATAAGTGTCTAATGCATTAAGGACAAAGTGTTGTGCTTTCCATGGAAAAAGTGGTCTAATGTACTCAATCTGCCACTGGGCTGCTGGCTGAT